TTTTTTTTTTTTTTTTTTTGCATTTTAAAAAATTATTTATAATATTGGGATACATTTGTCATAATCACAAAAGCATGGAATATAATTTGCTCTAATGCAGTCCCAAGCACTGCCCTCGCCCACCCCCCCCTCACTGATCTTTCTGTACTTTATTTATAGTTTTTTTAATTACTATCCTGTGGATGTACTTGGTATTGAGCGTCACTGTGAATACCCACACATGCACATACAAACGTTCAGTCAGACCCATTTCACTGTTCTTCCCTCTCCTGATCCCTCCTTCCTCCCCCTCAATCCCCTTTGTCTACTTCTCTCTCCTCTTTCTTGGAACTGGGGCTCGAATCCAGGGCTTCTTGCGTGCGAGGCAAGCCCTTTCCTCTATTTTAGTGAGATTCCCTTTTTTCTCTCCTTTCTCTCCCTTCACCCTTAGTTTGGACTTTTGCTGGGGATCTTTCTCTTGGTACCTACCCGTGTAAGCATCACTAACAGCTGGTTTCGGGCCACCTGGTCAGGGTCCTCCAGCAGAGAGTCTAAAATGTTTTTGTTTTGGATGTCAGAGTTGGCTTTGGGGGAAAACAAATGTAGAAGAACTTGTCCCTCCTCAAGGCAGTGATCACGCTGGCTGCTGTTTTTGACACCGATTTTTGCTATACTTTGATAAGTATGAATAATTCCCACCCAACGCTGGGAACTGGATCTGGATGAAGTTACAGCTAAACGATGACTTTTTATAACCAGTGCTTCTCCTTTATAAATTCGATACAAAATGAACGATTTTGGTATCTCTACCAAATTTTTCCATCATAAGACCAGCCCAAAGTAGACGCCTGCTTTTATCTGAACCCAGAACGGCTTCAGTGCTCAACCTGAGCCAGCAAGGACTTGCTCTCCCCGAGGCTTTCTCTTTGATGTCTCCCTCTGCCCGACACAATGTGGCAGCATGTGTGGTTTGTCTCCCAAGCCCCTGCCAGTTCTCTGGAAAGTTCTGCAGTGACATGTCGAGGTGGCAGCTTCTACAGGTTTGTCATGTTTAATTTGAATCCTGTCACTGAAGATACAAATCTTCATTTGGTTTGCCAGCTTCAGCATCACTGAAATTGGAATGTCACTCCACCCTGCATGCAGCAAGTCCTGCCCTTGGAGTCAGGGTGCCACCACTGGAGTGACTGCCCCCAAAACGAGGTCTTAAGGTCAAGGCTGTGGCCCTGCTATGCAACTGCCACTCTGCCCATCTTCTCCCTCACCACCTTCCCAACACCTCTCTTGGCTTTCCTAGCCTTTAGAGTCACCTGTCCAGACAGGAGTGTCATCAGACCCAGCATCAAAATGGGGTACGGGACTAACATGCAAGAAAGCCATTTTGCCTCCCTCTATTTGATTTTAAAAGTTTACCTAGCCAGGTATAGGTGGCACACACCTGTAATCCCAGCAACTTGGGAGGCTCAGGAAGGAGTATCACAAGTTCAAGGCCAGCCTCAGCAACTTACTGCAGCCCTAAGCAACTTAGTGAGACCCCATCTCAAAAATAATAAAGGGATGGGGATGTGGCTCCGTGGTCAAGTGCCCCTGGATTCAATTTGCAGTACCCAAAACAAAAGTCTGCTGCCACACACCAGCTCACGTTTTAAACACTGTCAGATTTCCTTCTCTAATACCACTGGCTAAAGAGCAGGTCTTAGAAATTCCATTCCATTTAACATTTATGGCGTCTTACCCTTTTCTTCTTCTGTTCCTGAAATTGTACAGTTATAAACCTGTTTCCCTCTGTAAGGAAAGCTGCCATTCTGGCTATGGTCCTAAAGCTCTAAATGATATCCCCTCCTGTATGATTTTTCTTAGCTCTATTTTTTCTTCGCTCTATCTTTACTCCTCTCAAACATGATTGCTTTTGTTTGTTTGTTTGTTTTGTTTTCCTTCCAAGTCCATGTTCTTTATTCATTATTCTTCATTTGACATTTTTAAAATTTGGTTGTACTTTCTGAAAACGGACTACTTGATTTTGCTCCAGTAAAACCCACACTTTCACTCTGTTTAAATTACTAGTTCCTATCAAATAATAAAGCAAGCTGACTTTATTTGCAAAAGCTGATCAGCAACTCAGTCTTTGCAGCAGCTAACCAAACAAAGCTTTACATATAAGCGAATGGAAAACTATCAAGATCTTTTCAATAAGTAATTAACCTGTTTCAAAAAATTCAATTCTTGATTTCTGAATCCTTTCCTGTAGATACTTTAGATAAAGCATTAATAGGAAATAGCCTAAAAGTTTCTGATAGTTATTTCAAGTCTAATCAGAAGACCATTAATTAGGAAAATGTACTCCTCTAAAAATATTAGGAGCAGGCCAGGCACAGTGGAACACACCTGTAATCCCAGTGGCTCAGGAGGCCGAGGCAGGAGGATCACAAGTCTGAGGCCACCCTGGGCAACTTAGCAAGACCCTGTCTCAGAATATAATAAAAAGGGCTATTCCTCAATAGTAAAGAACCCCTGAGTTCCATCCTCAAAACCAATATAGAATATAATAACATACTTCTAGAAAGAAGTTGGATTTTTGCCAAAATGATGTTTTTACAGATTAGGAAAGGGAAAAAAATTTGTGTTTATTAGAAGACTTTATAATAGAACTCACCTTACATAAGAAAGCATATAAAGATAGACTCTTATTGGAGGCTTTTGAGAAAATATGATCTACTAAGCCACATTACAGAAATGAAACTTTTTGTTCTTTTTTTTGGGGGGGGGGCTGGGAATTTAACCCTGAAGTGCTTTACTACTATGCCACAACCCCATCCCTTTTTTTTATTTTTGAGACAGATTCTCACTAAGTTGCTTAAGATCTTGCTTAGTTGGTAAGGCTGGCCTTGAACTTGAGATCCTCCTGCTTTAGCCTCCTGAGATGTGTTCCACTGCACCCAGCAGGAATGAAACTTGTTTTAAAGGTAAGAAATTAAGCCCCAAATAGGTAACTTGCCCAGAGACTTGGCTCCAAAACAAACAGGATATCCTGGCTTAGACAAATACGTAGCTCTTCCGATTGCTGTCTTCCTTCCAGAACAGAGCTCTACTATTTTATCAGTCACTACTTTCCAGAACAGTTCTCCCCGATTCCTACATGTGGGACAACACAAATTGACTCACTTTTCTTTTCAAATGTCTCTCATAAGAGAATCTACGAATTAGAAAGTATTGACTAGGAATCCCTTATGAAGACTGAAAACTCTGTGGCAGAGATAAGAACCAGGTGATCTTCTAACACTTCTGACAACTATACATTGCATATGTAAATACCTCATAGTTAGCTGCATTTTTCCAAAGGAGAATCATTCTCCACCCAATCAGGATGGCTGCCTCTAAGCAAAAAGTTTCAGGTCTGCTGGTATTCTGTCCAAATGCAGAAGTCGGTATCTATTAACAAACTCTTTGCTCTTCTTTACACTGATAACTTGCTAAAATCAACTAGAATGTTGGAAAACCCCCATCAAGATTTCGATTTTACAGAAAGTACCCAAAATTCCACCAGTTTTGCATCACAAAGTAGTGGTTTAAGTCAAGTTTAGAGTAAAACACCATGTGTGTGGTTTTTGTGGGTGGTTGCAACTCAAAATGACTTAGGTTTCATCAATTATCTGACAGGAGAGAGCAATGATGGCAATTATAATTAGGAGAATTATGATCCTAACAAATACTTTTTCCACCTTGAGCACCGGCTGCCATATTGACCAACTCTCATAACCTAAAGGCCAACTCAGAAGCGTCACTAGCCTTCAGGTCTGGACCTAAAAACCTAGCAACAGAAAGAAAATTAAAAGGTAGACCACTGTCACGTGTTTCACATTTATTTGATCAGCTTAGACAATGCCTATGGACTCTCCCCATGGTGGCATTTTAAACTCATTCGGTACAACAAATCTCTAGCCTACTGGAGTGCCACTTGAAAGAAAGAAAAAAAAAAAAAAAACAAGGGAGAAACTAACAATTCTTTAAGTTCATGACAAACTAGTGTGAAAGAGAATCCTCACACCTAGAAGTGAAACTCCCTCATCCGCCCAGCCTGGAAAGAAAAAGAAAGCTAAAAACCACTATAGAATAAGATTGCAGAGTTTGAGAAAACCCCTAAGGTGGGTTCTGAACAATAACACAAAGAGTCCCACAACATCAGTGCTCACTGCATGCAAGAACCGCAAATGGAAAGAGTTTGCCAGCATTTTTTGTAATTGACCTCACCAAAAAAAGAAAATTACACACACACACACACACACACACTTATATTTATAGCTGGTCCCATGTATATGAAACTTAAGAAAATTCAGGATTTTAATCTATTCGCTCCTCAGCATATGCAAGACATTTATTTCTTTTTTCACAAATGTATCACCAACAGCATCTCAGAAAAGCTGGGCATTCTCTGTCAAAGCTCTCTAGAAGAAAGCTTAAGATTTGGTTTGACATTGGAGACCTGAGCCACCCAGGGTTTAGGAGCTGAGTGCACCACAGCCCAGGGGCAGCACAGTGGGGTGGAAAGAACATAGACCTTGAACTTGAGAAGCCTTAGTAGCTCAACCACTTCCATGTTATGACCTTGAGCAAATTATTTAATTATTTCCATTTTCAATTCCCCCCTTCCAAAGAGTAAAGAATACTTGAATTTGGTTCTTTGGACATGATGAACATTAAGACAATACATGCCAAATGTCCAATACGTACTCAAGTCACATTATCACCCATTCCTTCGCAGCATAACCATG